GTTGCCCAGATAGGTCTGGGAAAATGTTGGGTGGTATGGGGACATGATATGACAGGTGATATGGAAACTGAAGTCTCTTTGACCAAGATTGAGTGACCTGAGTCACGTACTCCAAGACCCTCATTTTAATATAGCCCACCTCCCAGTGTGTTGACCAATTGGAGCTGATTGGCACCTCTTGGGAATACTTATTCTTCGAAGGGTACATAAACTATGTACTCCAGCCCCCAAATCGAGCCATTTCTGGACTGGCCCCATTAGCGGGGATCCAGTTCTGGACTGCAACTCCCATGCAACGCATGCATGTTACCAGCTTGAGAGAAGTTAAAAACATGGACACAACCTAGTTTCGTTTGCCTTTTCTTGGAACAAACTCACGAGGTTGACAGTAGTTATGTCTTAACTTTTGTATAAAGAGTCTCAAAATCATAACATTTTAGCTTGCTCTGTCTGGCTTCATTTCTTTCCTCTCCTTTGGCTATTAATAGCAATGGCAAGTGATAACTATAAGGTATGGCTAGCTGCTTATTAATTCTTTAAAAGAAATTAACTTTTTTCTTAAGAAAGCCAGCAGTGGTTACTTTACAATACTTCAACCTGTCTTTCATTTTTGAGCAGATTTATAACTGGTCTCTCTTTTGAAGAGGTTCAGTAGTCTTGCATTGGAAGATAGCTTAGATTCTTTTGATCTTGTATGGGAAGAATGATTTATTTCTGGAAATCCCACTAAACTAGTTTGTGACTATATGTTTGTTTATTAGCTTTTACTTGGGGTTGTTTCAGGCAATCGGGTTCAGAAAAAAATCGTTCAAAGAGCAGTTAATAAAATCAATATATCCTTCTTTGTTGATTGGTATGAATTCAATTCTTCTTTTCCTCCACTCTTCATTAGAACTAACAAGTAACAAAGCGCTCAAAGTCATAGAAGCAGCAGGAGAGAGATCAAGTATCTGATTTCTTCAAACAATATCCTTGGGTTTTGCAAAATTGGCATTTCCTTATTCCTTTTAAGTATTTATTAACTCTTTTTCTCCTTCCTTCACTCCTCTCCCACATCCTCACTGAATTCTAATTAAATATCTAAAATGTAATGTTTTTCCAGGTAATGGTCGATATCCCTAATGCTGTCATGAGGGCTAGGCAGACTCCCAAGGACGTAATTAAAACAGGAGCCATAGATCTTTAATTAGGTGTTTGATGATAGTTGTTTGAGCTTTTTTGTATTATTTAATGTAATTTTTTCCAATTATGTGTAAAGACAATTTTAAACATTCATTTTTACAAAATTTTGAGTTCCAAATTTTTCTCCCTTCCTCCCTCCCCTCCCCTCCCCTCTTCCTAAAACAGTATGCAATTTAATATAGGTTATAGATGTGCAATCATATAAAACATATTTCCATATTAGTTATGTTGTAAAAGAAGAAACAAAACAAAAGAAAAAAAACATGAAAAAATAAAGTAAAAATAATATGCTTCAATCTGCATTCAGAGTCCATCAGTTCTTTCTTTGGATGTGGATAGCATTTTTCATCATGAGTCTTTTGTAATTGTCTTGGATCATTGTATTGCTGAGGAGAGCTATGTCATTCATAGTTGATCATCATACACTATTGCTGTTACTCTATACAATATTCTCCTGGTTCTGCGCATTTCACCTTGCATCAATTCATATAAGTCTTCCCAGGTTTTTCTGAAAACCGCCTGTCTAGCTTATAATTGTTAATGGAATATAAAACCAAAAATTTTAATTGGAAAAAATAAACATAAAAGCAATGTAGAATGTAAGTACTTTGAGGTCAGGAAATATCTTATTTTTGTCCTTGTATCCCCAGAATCTAACAGCACTTTTTTAGGTGTTCCATACATGTTAGTTGAATTGAACTGTGGATGGTGGCTCTAGGAACAAACAACCTCCTCTACTTCTCAGAGCATTTCCCTCTATTAATTCCCTAGAAGGTCTTTAAGAGCCAATACGATACCAAAAGGGAGGCTGAAGTTATAGAACAGGCGAATGGTGGTGGTGGTGGTAGTGGTGGTAGTGGTGGTGGTGGTGGTGGTGGTGGTGGTGGTGGTGGATGAGGAGGTGATAAATGCTTTCAAGGTAATACATCCTTCCTGATGTGGAAGGGGTATTTGTTAGTGTGGTGATGTGATGTAGAGTTTGGAACATCATGAGAATCCACAGGGCCACTAGTAAAAGGTGAAGAGATATTTTACCTCCTTTGGTGCAGGTGAAAAAACAGGTTGAGTAACATGTCTGAAATTACGAAATTCATCAACAGAGCTGGCCGATGATCCCATTCTCCTGACCATAGTCCTCTTTCCATAAAATCATATTACTTTGGACTTCTGTTAATATTAAACTATATAGCAAATAAATGGAAATTTATTTCGGTTGTTTTTACTGATTAGGTAGTATGTTTACTTCTAGGCAACTGTCGAACAGAAAAGATGCTTTTAGTATTTAAAAAACACTAAGTAGGCTCATGGCACAGTATGAAGAGCCCTGGACTAAGAATCAGGAAGAGCTGAATTCAAATCCAGTCTCATAAATTTACCAGCTGTGTGACCCTGGGATAACTTAACCACTTAACCACTCTTGGCCTCAATTTTCTCATCTGTAAAATGGGGATAATAATAGCACCTACCTCCCAGGGTACTGAGGATAAAATGATTTGTTGTTTGTAAAGTGCTTTGTAAAGTACTACATAAAGGCTAGCTATTATTATTATTTAAAATATGAAAATTAATGTTTCTTTCCAACTTCTTGTTCGACATTGACCTTCCTCACTCCACTTTCTAGATAAACCTGTTGATGCACATTAACATAATGAATAATAAAATCTAAGGATAAAGTTTACTAATTCATCTAATAGTAGACTATCCTGTTTCAAAAGCCAAGAAGAATTTTGTTTTTAGCTTTGTTATTGTGAATTTTTAAAAGAAACCAGATACCATATTTGGACTGTGAAATACTTTTATGCTCCAGCCATTGTTTTATAATCTTGTTTATTCAGCAGGTATTTGTTGAGTATTTGAAATATGCATACCCAGCATTACCCTGAGTATTTAGACACATGAAATATGGTCCTTATCTTCCTAGGTTAGGAGATATTTATCTCAAAACTATGGGAGGTAGGCAATGCTATCTACATTTCTCAGGTGAGGAATATGATGTTCAAAGAAGTCAGGTGGGACAGCCAGAAATCAGACCCTGGTTTGCTGACTCCAAGTCTAACTTTTTTTGCATTATACCACAGCAGTGTGTGATAAATGCCATATGACTTAAGTGGTACAAACAAAATGCTGTAGAAGTTCAGAAAAAGGAGAGATCACTTCTAGTTAGGGATGAAAGGATGGGGCAGGGATTGAAAAAAAAAATCTTCTAGGAAGTGGTAGTGAGCTGTGCCTAAATGAGTGCTGATGGGGTGGTGTGTGTTGTATTGTGGGAGGGGTTATTCCAGGCAGGGGAAACGGCATCAAGGAAGGCCCAGACAGGAGCAGGAAGAGTGGAGGATTTCTGAGGAATGCTAAGTTGTATAAATTGTCTGAAGTGTAAGGTTAGTGTGGGAGATGAGTCCTGAAAGGTTAAGATGGTGGAGGGTCTTAAAATATAAGGTGGTTATGGAGTTTAGACTTTGCAATACAACAAACATTTAATTAGTGATACTATGTGCAGGCACTGTGCTAAGTATTGCGGGAAATTAAAAATCAAAACAATAAGGAGCCATTGATGGATTTTGAACAAGAGACTGAAATACTAGGTGAATATGTGACAGTGTGTGCAGGGAAAATTGGAAGGAGAGGCTCGAGGAAAGGAGACCACTTAGGAGGCTATTGCCAAACCCGACCAGTAGCTAACTGGTTTCTCAACTAGGGATTCTATTTTCTGCCTCTGAGCATTTTAGCAAACTGTCCTCCCTTCCCCCGCTCCTCTCCCATGCCTAGAGGACACTTCTTCATTTCAAACTCTTAGAATCTTTACCTTCTGTAGGATTCAGATTAGGTGCCACCTCCTTCACTAAACTTTCTTGATCTTTTTCAGTACAATACAAAATCCTGGAACGTAGGAATGCCCCCCGACCGGGGGCTTTGTATGTCACTGGAGGCACTTGACAAATATTTGTTGAAGAAAGACAAATTTCTATGAAAAGTTAATATTATTCAGTTCACAAGCTCATTGCTCTAGCATATTGGAATACTTTTAGATCCTGTTTTAGGTTTACTAGGTCATAGATTTAGGGCAGGAAGAGTCCTTAGGGGCCATTTAATACACCTCCCTCCCCATTTTACTGTTGAGGAAACTGAGGTCCAGGGAGTTTAAGTAATTTTCACAAGGTTACACAAGGGTCAAACTCCATCTCTAGGACTCTTTGTGACCTCTTTGCCCTCTCTAGGCCTCAGATTGCTCATCCATCACATAAGAGGGTTGGGCTCTGAGGTCCCTTCCAGCTTAGGATCTCTGATCTTATGAAGCCAAGGCCCATAATGGGCAAGGGACTGGTCAAGGGTCACCCAGGGAGCCAGTTGTCCAGTTCGTCAGCTGTTCCTTACAGCTTCTGGTCATCTGTAAATGTGTAAACTTTGTTACATTTTTTACAGATTTGTAAATCTGTAAATTTGTAAACTTGTCTGAGCATTAATCCACGGTGATGCTACCAGCCACCACAAGACGAAGGGTACAGTCTCCACCATACTCGCCTCTACCTGGGATTTGTTGCGCTGGTTCGGCACGTGCGCAGTCCCAGGAACTCCAAAGGTTCCTGACACACCGGCATCACACTGCGCCTGCGCCCTTTTCTCTTCCGGCCCTGGAAGACTTCAACTCCCAGAGCCTCACTCGGCTTTCCCGACACTTAGAGGAAGGGGGAGGGGGAGGAGTCAGCGGTAGCCACGCCCAGTTCTGCTGCGTTGGACTCGTTCTGTGAAGAGGGAAAGAAGGTGGGCGCGTGCGGTGTGACTCGAGGCTCTTTACCAGGTTCCCCGATCTCTCGGTCTTCCAGAGGGCATTCTCGGCGGTGGCGGAGGCTTCCCGGCTCGGGTCTCCCTTTTTTTGCACCACAGTGCCCCTCCTACCAGCCCAGGGAGCAGAGGAGCCATTCCACCTGCCCCATGCCCGACCAAGATCCACCTGATGTGCCCTGAGATAGCCCCACCCTCCCCGGCCGCTCCGCCCTGGAATCCCCAGGGGACTCAAGAAGCCCCTGGACTTCTGGGAAGAGACCCCTCCCAACACACACCTTCGTGCCCTCTAGCTCCTCTCCCCTATCTGGGAACCCTTCTCTGGAAGGGGTGTGGTGTGGACAGTGCTGCTTTTCCCTGGGATGCCCAACTACTGGCCCCTCCCCTGGGCTTTCTCCTTCCTCCCACCCCCTCTAATTCCACACCTTCCCATCTCTGGAATCTGGCAAGAAATACGGAACAGCAGGGTTGGGGCAGACGCTGCCCTCTCAGGGAGGTACTGAGCCTATTCCCGTTACCAGGTGTTGCAGTGTCCCAGCTTCTAAGTGACCAGCGGCACGGTGCCATGTCTCATCGTCCACCCCCCGACGTTGCCACTGATGACTGTCTCCGAAGTTATAGCTACCTCTTCAGCCCAGATATCCTTCGGTGAGCCCTCCTGACAATCCATACCCCCAGCCCAAGAATTGGGGGTGTTGAGAAATGGCTACGACTGGGAAAGAATGAATGACCTCTTAGGATTGCCCCCTTACTGGGGTCCGTTGTAGAAGGGCTTCTGGCAGAAAGAACTGATAGAGTCCAAATGCAGATAGAAGCATACTATTTTCACTTTATTTGTTTCGTGTTTTTTTTTTCTTTTGGTATGTTTCTTTCACAACATGACTAATATGGAAATATGTTTTACGTGATTGCATATATATAATCTATCTCAAATTTCTTTCCGTTTTAGGGAGGGAGAAAATTTGGAACTCAAAATTTCAAAAGAAATGAATGTTAAAATTTGTCTTTACATGTAACTGGAAAAAATTAAACTACTAAAAAATAAAATCACTACAGACAAAAAATGAGAAGGGCTTCTGGCTTGAGGTCTGGAGGTAGAACTTCATACTTATAGATTGAGACTCTTATACTGTGCCTCTAGGGAGGCATATAGAAAGAATGAATCCCTATAGCCATTGAAACTAGAAACACTGATTTTTTTATTTTACTGAAAATCAATCAATGAGGGACTGTAAGGTAGTGATTCATTAGATGTCCTTAGTGTAAAGGATTTTACCCTTGGGTGAAAGAAGGTGGTACAGTGGATAGAATGCTGCCTCAGACACTTACTAGTTGTGTGACCCTGGGCAAGTCACTTGACCTCTGCCTCAGTTTCTAATAATAGCATCCATCTCCCAGGGCTGCTGTGAGGATCAGATGAAAATAGTATTTGTAAAGTGCTTTGCAAACCTTAAACTGATATATAAGTACTAACTGATTATGGTGGGCCAGGAAACATCTTTACTTTGCCATTTACTGGCAGGCCCTGCCAAGCTTAGAAGGATCATTGAATCATAGAACTAGAGCTGGAAGAGCTTTCTGGTCTAAGTCTTCATTCTACAGATCAGGAAACTGAATTCCAGAGAAGTGAAATGACCTGCTCCAGGTCGCATGGTAATTGTCAAGAGGTGGAATTTGAACCCAGTTTCTTTAAGTCTAGAGGCATTATTTTTTCCTGCTGTTTCATGACACATCAAGTATAGGACAAGTGAGGGGCTATATCTCTGTCATCCAAAGACCAGCCTAAGTTCAGAAAGGCTCATCATCGGAAAGTTGGCCACCTTTGTTTCTTTTTGGTTCCCATCTACTAAGGTGGGTGACTAGAGGACAGGGATGAAATCTGTATTGGTGGAGAGAGGCTATATTCTGATGAAATCATAGATCTTGTGAAATATTTTTATTATTCAGAGGGCTTAAGGAACATTTAAAATTTTTATTATTTTTAGATTTTCATTTTATTTTCATTCAGAATTTAACAATCACCCACAAAATGCACATTTCCATATGTATACATTGTAGGAGATTGTACGTGAAACTACAAATCTCCATTATGGAGATCTTGCTTTTCTTCTTTTTAAAATCTTTTCTTTTTAATTATTCAGAACTTAACACTAAATAAAATGGAAATTTCCTTACGCATAGTAGAAAAGGAAAAGGAGGTGGTACATGACACCATGGTTCTCTATTAAGGGCAGCTTGCAGTTCTTTTAAAATGTATAATAAATTCAGCATGTATCTTTCAAAGCTATTCTGTTGGTCTGTGATTCTTTCTGGCCTTTTGTGCATTTTTTAATAAGATAATCAGTGAACCTCTCTTCCTTCCTTATTTTCTTCCCAACTTCCTTCCTTCCTTTTCTACTCTATTGCTATTCCTCTCCTCTCCATCCCCTCCCATCCCCATTGGAAAAAAATTAAAAGCTCTCTTCTAACAGATTTGCATAATCACTTGCTTTTCTTTTAAGCATATAACAACTACAAAATGTAATTTTCTGTAACATTTTTTGAAGGGATTTTCTTTTCTCCACAGTGACAAAGTGGCCTTTATCACTGGAGGAGGCTCAGGAATTGGGTTCCGAATTGCAGAAATTTTCATGCGGTATGTCTCTGTTCATTAGCTTCCCACCTCCTCTATCTTGACAGACTTTGCTCACCCAGGACTGGACGGTTTGGTGGCTGCTTTTTACTCTTTCACCAAATTGTCCATCCCTCTGCAGAGGCTTACCTATGCCTACAAACTCTGGTCTTCCCCAGCCATTACCCTTCTCAAATCATGTCAGTTACCAGATCTCCTTAATTCTAGTTCTGCAGAATCTCTACATTTGCTCCATTCTCCCTTCCCACTGCCATTATCCAAAGATAAGCCTTCATTCCTACCAAAAGGCATTACTATAATAGCCTCCTAACAGGGCTTCATGCCCTTTTCTTTCTCCCTCTTGACATCCTTCATGCCAGAGTAATCATCTTCATGCATCTAGCTGATCATGCCACTCTGTTACCAATTCTTCAGTGACTTCATATTGCTTCCCTGGAAAAATTCATAGTCCTTTGCTGGCATTAAGGCTCTGTTCAGTCTGTCACCATCCTATCATTCCAGCTTTACCTCCTGCCATTTACTTTTCCTTTATAATTGGATGACTCTTTCTCTCCTGTATTCACCTTGTGCTTTCTGACTCTGTGCCTTTGCTCATGCTGTTCCCTAGGCTTAGAATTCCCTTCCTGACCCCTTGCAGGTTGAATTCCCTAGCAGTCCTTTCCAGGCCAGCTGAAATGCCAGTGCTCCTCCAAGAAGCTTTGCCTGCTCTTATTCCCCCTGTCACATTGTTGGTAAATGAGCTTTCTTCTCTTAGGCCTCATATAGGACTTCCTCTTTCAAGTGTTGATTGTGGTTTATATTATATTCTAGTGTTTTATGTGTGTTATATCTCCTTACTATATTGTAAACTCTATGACCGCAAAGTGTCTTAGTCATTTTTGTCTATTTGCTAGTTTGTAGCATGGTTCTCTGCACATAAAGGGTGCTTAATAAATGTTTGTTAAGTTGAACTGAGTGTAAGATAGGTATAATGGTCCCTGCCCTACTTACCTTACAGGCTTCTTGAGGAGATTAAATGGAATAATGAATGAAAAAAGTTTGATGTGCAAATGTTCTCTGAACTGGTATTGTTGTGTTGTTGTTCATCCTTTGTTTTCAATGTCTTGACTTGGGAGTGAATTGGGTTTAAGTGAGGCAGAGCTGTGCAAAGTCATCAGCCTCACTCTTTCCTCCAGAGTCATCAAAGCCCAGTGGCAGGACAAGAGTCAAGACTATGGCTGATGGCCTAGTGGTAGTCAACTGGCCAAAGATTGCAGGTTGTCAAGGCTAAAGACCACATGGTATCTTTGGGGCAGGAAGGACATCTCAGTGAACTTGTGAAGAGGGAAGAGAGATTTATAACTTCTGGACCTGCCAAGTCCCCTAGATGTTACCACTGTATTATACACAGTGTGGATGCAGCTTTGTATCTCACATACGGCAAACATTTATTAAGCACCTTCTATGTACAAGGTATTACACAAAGTGCTGGGAATACAAAGATGATAAAAAGCAGCCCCTGCCCTAAAGAAGCTTACCTTCTATTGGAGAGGATATCACATATAAATAGATAAGTATGTGCCTGATCATTTGAGGAAGGAGACAGAACTATCAGCTTTGGGGATCAAGAAAGATTTCCTGGAGGAGGTATAACATGAGAAGCCTGGAAGGAAACTTGGGATTCTGAGGCAGATGTGAGGAAGGAGTGGTTTCCAGGCCTTGGGGATGGTTTCTGCAAAGGCAAAGAGGACCCACCTATATGTGTTGAGTCTTTGGTGTAAATAATCTGTGGTGGTATTGGTGAAGCCTGGCCAGGGCTCAACATTTTGTTTACCTCTAACAGGCCCTGGGAGTTGTCCTAGTATTGGTGTTTGGTAGGCCCGAGGCATGCAAAAGGATAAGAAATTGAACAAATATTTAGATATCTACTGAGTGCAGAAGAATGGGGGCTGGGGACAGATAGAGATTAATATGACTTGGTCCCTGGCCTCATGTAACTTGCAACCTACTAGGAGCATATGACACCTGTCTTCAAAACTGGTGCAAAATAGATCATGTTAAGATGAGTAGAGAGACACAGAAGTACTTTCAAAGAAAAGAGAAACAAAAAATTTGATTAAGCAAACTTTTTTTAGTACCTTTGGTGCAGGTAACTGTTAGGTGCAAAAAGCAAGGAATTCAGAGAAGAAGCTGGACCATGTGGAGGCAGGGAGATAAAAGAAGAGATCCCTGTACCCCCAAATTCAGTGTGCTTGTGGCATGGCTTGCCCAGCCCTGGTATGGATGGTTTGAAATGAGTAATATGAGTGCATATTACTGAGACAATAAAGGCACTGAGAAAGTTTGGAAACTTCTGGTATAGAGGATTGACTTATTGAATTAGACCATCTAATCTACCAACTCCCTTTCAATTCTAGGATTCTGTGGCTTTCACAGGGGAGTCAAGCCAACAGAACAAGAGATTTAATAGTTAAGAAGATGGTGCTCAGAGGTGTGGAGCTCAGAACAATGAGGAACAATGAGTTTTTGGTAGGCATATGTGTGGATCAGAGGAATTGAATTTGATTTCATAAGTGTTTGTAAAGCACCTATTATGTGCAAATAATTACTCTAGGTGCTGGGGTATCCAAAGATGAATGTCATAGTCCTTCTCCTCAAAGAGTTTACTGTCTGTAGGGTGATACAAAATACATATAAATAATTATAAAATAAGTAGGATATGTTGAATACCTAAGAGAATGCTATGAGGATCTCCTGTATTACCATCCCAATGTGGCAAGGAATTGGGGTGGCATTGTGGGCACAATGTTTAAATAAGGTGTAATGCAAATTTCTAAGGTGCCTTCCAGCTCTAAATTAGTGGTCCTTGTGGAGGATGGAGCAGAGAGGGGTCTGTATCACTAAAGTGCTCAATATTGTGTTCTGGGGAGAATGGATCTTTGTATTGACCAGGACAGCCCACATAAGGTGGACATTTAACTGAGGATTTCAGATGCAGGGAACTAATCCTAACCCAGTACTACTCTTTGGCTGTTAGCCCACTTGACCCTTACGCAGGCCCCAGCCCCTTTCCCATCCTACCCTCCTTGCTTTTTTGCTTTTACCCTGCCCTTTGCTTTTAATTCAATAGGTCCTTTTGTAGGAAAGAACACTATCCAGTCTGCCCTCTCAGATAAGTAATAAGAAGGGAGGAATGCCTGATTATGTTTTGTTTCCTTCTCTTTACTCTTTAATCTTATCCTTTTGGTATCTCCCCACTCTGCCCCTTACCTGGTGTTTGTTGACTTAAACTGTTTGTGTTTTACAGGCACGGCTGCCAGACGGTCATTGCTAGCAGAAACCAGCAAAGGGTGTCTGATGTAAGTGGGATCTCCCTGACAATTGGGACTTTTCTTTCTTCATTCTCCTTATTGATTAGTACCTATTTCTCCATGGCTCATTGTAGATATAGTAGCACTCTGTTCCTGGACTGTGGATTAGCAAGTGACCTCTAGAGGTTCAGGGATGAGAGTGTGACGGTGGCACCACCTGGCTGTTTCCTCTTTATTGTGGAGTTTCAAGACGTGATTTCAAACCTTGCTGCTTATCCTTGGGTTCTTCCTTTCCAGATGTTCCCCTTAGTGTTACTAACTTATTCTAAAGTTTACAAAACATTTTCATCTTTATAGCCCTGTCAGGTAGATAGTATAAACATTCCTGCCATTTTACAGATGAGAAAATTGGGGCTTGTAGAAGTCAAGTGACTTACGCCCAGCAACATAACTATTGAATGTCTAAAAATGGATTAAAACTCAGTCTCTTGGATTCCAAATTCAGTGTTTTTTCACCAATGCACCTGGCTGCCTCCCTTGGTTTTTTATTGAGTTACTGGTATGCTTTTTGTGATAGTTGTAGGGTATGTGTTGAAGTCCTGTGGGTGGAAGACGATAGAGGTGGGTTATTTTTTTTCTTATCCATAGCACCTGGAAAGGGAAAACTTCTTCCATAGAGCCAATGTCCTGGGTGCTATCAAACTTATTTTATTGTAAGGAAAACGAAAGGGAGCTTGGCGTAACCTCCTTTAGGTTACCAGCAGAGCCAGCGGAGACTCAAGGTTTTCTTTGCTAATCTCCCGCTCTTGTTCTTCCATGAATTTCTTCATGGAATGGAGATTCTGGTTTATGTAGAGCTTTACATACATTGCCTAAAACCTGTGAGTTAATCAGGTATTGCTAGGCTATTTTTATTATCTTGTTTTTCAGATGACGAAACAGGTTTAGAATAGTGAGGGACTATTAGTAAGTGGCGGAGCCGTGACGTGAAAGCAAGTCTTTTGGTGCTCGTTCTTTTTGCTCTTCCAAGCTCCCTCTTCTGGGTGTCACTGCTGGTACATTATAGTGGAAGTAGAAATGATAGGCCAGTGCCCAGATAGCTTGTGTTGTCTCCTGGTGCAGGCAGCCAAGAAACTGATTGCTGCTACTGGTCAGCAGTGCCTTGCCCTGTCTCTGGATGTCCGGCAGCCTCAGACCATTACTGCCGCAGTCGATAAGGCTCTGAAGATGTTTGGCAAGATTGACATTCTCATCAATGGTGAGTTCCCCCAGAGGGAGAACAAAGGGCCTCAATCCTCAGTGGAATGAACTGAAGGAGCACATCCTCTTTAGCACATGGCTTCATAAGGGATGAAACAGCATATGAAATGTAAGGATTATTGCATTTAGAACCAAGACGAGATCTAAGAGATTATCTAGTCCAGATCTTTCATTTTACAGAGTAGGGAAACTGAGGTCCAAAGTCACACAGGTATCAAATAGCAAAGTCAAGATTTGAACTTTAGGTCTTTTGACTTCGAAGCTAACAATCTTTCCACTGTACCACTCTTCCTTACAGGGTAGCTAGTCCAAATTATACCTATATAAGAATCCCTTTTAAGATCTCCCACCCCAACTCCCTGCACATGGTTATTCAGTCTCTATTTGAAAACTTTCAGTGATAAGAAACCCATAACCTCCTGAGGCAGTCCTTTCCTTTCATACTTGTAATTGTTAAAGAAGTTTGTTTCTATGTGAGCCTTCTGGGACTCAGGGGTGGGGAACCTTTGCCCTTAAGGCCACATGTAGCCCTCTAGGTCCTAAAGTGCTGCCCTTTGACTGAATCCAAACTTCACAGAACAAATCCCCTTAATAAAAGGATATGTTTTGTAAAACTTGGATTCAGGCCCTGCCCTCAAGGAGCTCACAGTCTAGCGGGGGAGACAACATGTGAACAAATGAGTGCACACAGGTGTACAAAGTGGATACAAGGCAGTCTTAAGAGGGGAAGGCCTAGGCCTTTTATTCCTTCTCCTTAGTTATCTCCTGAACTTTGCATAGCATCTGTGGCCCAGCAGAAAAGCCACCTGGACAAGATTGGTTCTAAATCAAGGGAGGGTGTGTCTGATATGGGTATGCCAAACTGCTCACCTGGGCTAGTCTGCAGCATGGAAGGCTGAGGCCAAGACGAGGCTGCTCCCAAATAAGGCAGGATAAGGGCCCATGGGAAGGATCCTAAGAACTTGAAAATATTTAGGAGAGAGAAGTCCTGTTGGGATGCCTAAAGAGTCCACAGCTGTCAGTGAAGGGAAAAACTTGGCAAGTTCTCTTATCAAGGTTTTATTTTAACCTCATGTAGAGTTTTACTTGGGCAAAAGGCTTCTGGCCCAACATCCTGCCCTTGCTCTCCAAAGACCATTTGTGTTCTACTTTTGGGGGCAGGGAAACTATCATAGGGGATTGACCCTTGGCCAGGAAGCATTTTGTTTTTATTGGACCTGTGATTTCATTGGTGTAGGAAACTCTTTCTGCTTGGGGCTATCAGTAGCAATTCTGTAACTTATTATCTTAGAGCAGAGGTTTTTAACTTTTTTGTGTGTGATGGATCCTTTTAACAGTTGAAACCTTTGGACTTCTCAGAATATTGTTTTTAAATGCATAAAATGCGTAGGATTACAAAGGTAAACAAAAGTTAGTAAAATGAAGATGTAATTTTTCCCCATTCTATTGCATAAACCCCCTAAAATCAAAATACAGATCCTTTGGGTGTCTGTAGATCCCAGGTTAAGAATCCTTCTCTTTGGGGCAGCTAGGTGGTGCAGTGGATAGATCACTGGCCCTGGATTCAGAAGGACCTGAGTTCAAATCCAGCCTCAGACACGTAACAGTTACTAGCTGTGTGACCCTGGGCAAGTCACTTAACCCCATTGCCTAGCCCAAAAAAAAGAAAAAAAAATCTCTCTCTTGGAAAGTTACCTCTAGGCACTAAGAGATTAAGTTATTTGTTCAGTGTCAAATAGCCAGTGTGTGTTAGGTTAGGACTTGAGCTCAGCTGGGACTCTGAGGCCATTCTTCCATCCACAGAACCATGCTGCCTCTCAGTATTTTTAAGTACTTGATTTTCATTCTTAATATGTGCTTACTGAACTGATTGCTTAAGGTCACCCAGAAAGAAGACCCACATTTTCTTACTTTGTTCAAGGATGCAAGAAAGATGTTACAAGCAACTTTATTCTCTAGGAAGTGATTTATTAATCTAATAATAGGCATCATCTTAACAGCAACTTTTCCTATTTTGGTTTCTTTTTATTTTGTATTGGCTTCACCCAGAGATGAGAATTCTTCCTGGTCCCTGGACCTGAATCTATAGGTCCATTTTCTATGGGAGTGTAAACATTTGCAGGATTGTACCCAGTACAAATAGGATACACAGATGCCAGTATTGATAATTGCCCTGTTGGGAGTGTGTGTATATGTGTGTATACATATATACCTTAAAACATGATTTTATCTCCTTGAAGGAAGAGATTTGATGGTTATTATAATTACCATTAGTAGAAGTAACAGCAATAATTCAAATTATATTAATCCAAATTGTTATATGATGCCTTATCAATTTATTTGGTACTTATCTGTGTAAATGTCGTGCTTTCCCAGTAGAATCTGAGCTCTTTGAGGGGAGGGACTGTTTTTCATTTTGTCTTTGTATCCCCAGCACCTTGCACAAAACTATGCATATAGCAAAAATGCTTTATTGAATGAATGAAATATACTGGGTTCAGTATATCTTTATTCAAAGGAAAAAGAGTCATAAAGTGATAGGATTTAGAGTGAGACCTTAGAAGTAATCTAATCCTGTAATTTTATAGATTTTGCAGATAAGAAAACTGATTCTCAGATAGATTAAGTGAATTTTCCAAGTCACCCAGGTAACTGCACATTAGAGCCCACAGCTTCTGACTCTAAATGAGTGTTCTTTCCATTGAATCCCATTAATCTGGAATGGGCCTAAAGAGCCAGGCAGTTGGACCAGATGGTACCTGAATGACTGTGATGGGTGACAAGGAAAGTGAGAGCATTTCTCTGGCTGTCTTCATGGGGCACTGTAGACTTTCTGGGGAAATTGGCTCTTTACTCCTCACACGTAGACTGGCATTCATACTGCTCTGGTAGGTTGGGGAGTCAGTTTTTATTCCTGCCTTCTTTCCTTAAAGGGCTTTCAATAAGATGTTCACAAAGAATTGCAATAAAAATTAGACTGTGGTAAGTATAAGACCAGGGAAGGGGGAAGATTGATCACTTGAAGCTGTCAGGTTTAGGGACGTGTTCATTGAGAGGTCATGCCTAAGTTGGGCTTTGAAAGTCTAGAAGACTTCCGTCCAGAAGGGATAGAGGGAATGTGTTCCAGGCATGAGGTATGGTTAGTGTGAAGGCCTGGAGCTGGTAGATAGAGTGTCCTGTGTGAGGAACAGAGAAAAGGCCACTTGAGCTGAATTGTGTACAGGAAGGGGAAGAATATATAATGAGACTGGACAGAAAGCTTGGGGTCAGGTTGCGAAGGGCTTTAAAAACCAAATATAGAAGGCTCCTATTTTATCTTAGAAGCAGTGAGAGCCACTGGAGCTCACTGAGTAAGAATTTAATATTCATTAAATATGTTTGTCTAGTGAACAAATGGCTTGTCGATGTAACCAGAGCCCCAGACCTGCCTTGTACAACCCCCAGATTTTCTCTGGAATCTGATTATCTCCTGAGACAGGGTTGAGTAGATAAGGCATTGGGCAGGCTGCTTGCATTCTCTTCATGGGTCTGGGTAGGGAGCACAGACTGTTTTCTCAGCTCTCTGGTCTACCCCCTACTCCCTATGCTATGCCATGCTCCCTCATGTGGGAGAAAAGCTATGCTACCCTGTCAGTGAGTGCTTGTAATGATAATAATGACCTATTTATATAATTCTTTGAGGTTTATTTTTACTGTTGTTAATATTAGCTCACATTGCTTTATCAAGTTAAGATTTACAAAGCACTTTCCTCAAAACAACTTTGTGAGGTAGGTAGCGTAAATACCATTCTCCCGTTTTATAGCTGAAAATGTTGAGCCCCAGAGTGGTTAAGTGACTTGCCCAAGGTTGGTTAAAGCAGAATTGAACCTAGGCCTTCTGATTCTAAGTCCAATATTCTTTCCACTTTACAAGACTCCTTCACCCTAGTCTCTTTATTTTGTAGACTTCTCCTAGCCTTTGTCTTTGCAGAGTGAAAATCCCTAATCATTTTAGTTTGTGGTCATATGGAGGTTTCATTTGTCCATCTTTGAATTTTCTCCAGTTCCATTTTAGCTTTCTTGAGATGTAGGGACTAAGTGAAGTCAAGTCAATAAGCGTTTATTAAGTGTCTTCTGCATGTCAGGTACTGAGCTAGTCTCTGGGGATATAAAGAAAGGCAAAAAACAATCCCTGCCCTCAAGGAGGTCACAGTTTAATGGGGGAGACAATACACACACGCAAAAAAAAATGTACAAATAAGATTATCAGTTTATCTCCTTCTCTCTCTAGCTGGCTAAATCTCTCTATCCAGAGTGTCTCGAAAGTCTGAGTGTAGTGTTAAGCTTTAGCAGTTTAAAACTGCACTGAGACTTTTAAGACACTCTGTATAGTATATATACAGGATATGGTATATATATATACAGGATAGATTGGAGATAATCTCAGAGGGAAGGCACTAAGATTAAAGGGGACCAGGAAAGACTTCTTCCATAAGGTGAGACTTTAACTGAGATTTGAGGAAGAGATGAGGAGGGACAGATAATAAAAACATTCTGGGTTGGGAGTTGAGTGTCTTGTTCAAGGAAGAACCAGGAGATCAGTGTTACTAGATTGCAGAGGGGACTAAGTTGTAAGAAGACTGGGGGGGGGGGGGGGGAGGAGACAGGTTGTGAAGGACATTAAAAGCCAAACAAAGGATTTTTTTTAAATTAAAATTTTTTTAGGCAATTGGGGTTAAGTGACTCACCCAGGGTCACACAGCTAGTGTCAAGTGTTTGGTCTGAGGCCGGATTTGAACTCAGGTCCTCCTGACTTCAGGGCCGGTGCTCTGTCCACTGCGCCACCTAGCTACCCCCTCAAACAAAGGATTTTATAATTATTCCTAGAGGTAATAGGGAGCCACTGGAATCCATTGAATGGGGAGGTGACATTGTCAGATTTGAGGTTAAGAAAGATCATTTTGACAGCCAAGTGAAGGATTGACTGGAGTAGGAAGAGACTTGTGGTGCCCCCCACTGGGCAGTTGCAGTAGTCTAGGTGCCAGGCGATGGGGGCCTGTATTACTGTACTGCAGAGGTGAGGTGCATGCTCAGGAGCTATTACCAAGATAGAAATAACGGGACTTGGTAACTGATTGGATACGGGGAGGTGAGAGAGTGAGGAGTTGAGGAAGACCCCTGGGTTATGAACCTGGGTACTGGGAAGATAGGGAAGATGTAGGGCCTTCTACAGTAACAAAGAAGTCGAGAAGAGACGTTTGGGGGAAAGGGAATGAATTGTTTTGGACATGTGTTTAAGATGCCTCACCAAACAACATAGAGGGACCTGAAAAGTATGGAGTTCTGGATATTTGCTCTCCCAGAGTGGCTGCTTAGGAGGTTGTTTGCATTTGCTCTCTCCCTTTCCCCACTTTTCTCCTTTAGGTGCGGCAGGTAATTTTTTGTGTGCAGCCAGCAGCATTTCCTTCAATGCATACAAAACTGTAATCGATATTGATACAATTGGCACCTTCAATGTCTCCAAAGTCATGTTTGAGAAGTACTTCCAGGTAGGTTTTTGCCAACCTTTGACACATTAGAGTCCCTGGGGGTTTTTCTGGCTTTTTTTCTCACTTTCTTTCCCCTATCTGTTTTAGGACCACGGTGGGGTAATCATTAACATCACTGCTACCCTGGACTACCGAGGGCAGGCGCTCCAGGTGCATGCAGGCACTGCCAAGGCAGCCGTGGGTATGGCCCGCTCCTTATGAGGCTTTTCCTCCCTCTTGTCCCGTGTTCCCTGGCTCCTTCATTTCTGACAGCCACAGCAATACCAACAATCATCACAATTCACGCAGGGTGTCCTACAAGTGTATTTGCAGTTTTAAGCTAAATACCCTCAAGTTAAAACTTTTGGGACACCCCCTATAGTGCTTTAAAATTTTCAGAGTGTGTATAATACATGATCTCCTGTGATCTCCTTTGATCATTATAGCAGTGGTCTGAGGTAGAAACTGCAACTATTATCATCCCCATTTTACAAATGAAGAAACTGAGGATCAGGGAGGTTAAGTGACTTTCCTATAATTCCACAGCTAATAAGTGTCAGAGGTGGGATTTGAACCCATATTTTCCTGACTTCAGTCCCAGAATTCTATCTACTCTGTAAGATTTCCTCTAAAAGAAAAGGTTGCTTTATCATGCAGCAACCTGAAGAACTTGGCAGGCCTGACCCCCTTCGACCAAGTCTTATTCTTTTTCTTCTTTATACTATTCTTCCTTTTACCCTGGGTGAGAGCTACACAGGCCTTTGCTTCCCACCCTGACTTTTGTCTTGAGTTCCCTTTTGCTGTGATACATATAGCCCTCTTTCCCCTTCCTTGACCATTCCTTGAACCTGTTGAGGTGTTCTTGAAACTTTTTTCATCTCTATATTTTTATCCCTTTGCAGATGCAATGACAAGGCACTTGGCTGTGGAGTGGGGTCACCACAACATCCGAGTTAATAGCCTGGCTCCGGGCCCCATCAGTGGCACTGAAGGAGTGCGTCGACTTGGTAAGGCAAGGCCATGGGACAGCGTCTCCAGTTTTATTGAAACTCCTCCTACCTACCTGTGATTTCACACACTTGTTGAGAGGCAGTATGGTGTAGTTAAAAACCCTGGAAAATCAGAGATCTGGGTTCAAGTACTGACTTTGCCACTTCCTCAACTTGAGACCTTTTTTTCAATAGCCTCTAAATAAAATTTAGCGTTGGCTCTAATTGTGAATTTTTAAAAATATTATTGTGAAAAGAGGTCCCAGAGGCTTCACCAAACTGCTAAGGAGACCATGACATAAAAAAAGCTTAAGAACCCCTGATCTTAGTGATATGCTCTTCCATTTTTTTGGAGATTTTCAGCTGGAAAATTACTGTTGCCCACAGCCCTTTAATGTTTGCAGGCCCTATACGGGTGAGTATTTTCTTTACCCTCTAGCCTTTGAGTGTACTTCAATACCCAATCTTGTTGATGTGAATGCTAACTCTGATGGTGAAGGTCACCACCTTTCTGTACCTCATTCTGTGTGATATTTGATTTTGGCTATGTCTTTCCTCATGTCCTCTACATACACTCTACCAAACATGCTGGAGGCCTTTCTCTGATTCTTTTGATATTTCATGAATATGAGGGCAGCACATGGCTCTTATCCCTTATTCTTGCTTCATGACTTACCTACCTCCTTTTCTAGTCATAAGTGTTCTTGATGGTATTTTTTTTTTTTTGTGACACCTCTTCCATGGAAGTCACTCTTTGGAAGTCAATGAAATAGTCCTAGACTAGCTTCTAGAGAATTCCTGACAGATGTCTGACTTTTCTAAGGGTTATAACCCTGTTTTGATTCCATCACATTATTATTTTTCAGTCCTTAATATTTAGTACCTGTCCTAGACATGATTCGATATAGAATTATTGACAGAGTGGAGAATTGTGCCTTTATTCTTTCCCTTTTCCCCTTCCTACACATATTCTTCAGCTAATTCTTTCTCCTGTTTTTCTTTTCAGGTGGCCGTCGATCCAACTGGGAGAGAATTATTTTGGGAAGCCCTCTCCAGAGATTGGGGAACAAGACTGAGATTGCCCACAGTGCACTGTACTTGGCCAGTCCGTTAGCATCCTATGTGACAGGCACAGTCCTGGTGGTGGATGGTGGGAGCTGGCTGACTTCTGCCAACGAATACATGATGTCGTTGGGGACTGAAACTTCCAAACTCTAGGTGAGGTACACCTCTGCTCTCTCACCCCACCCAGGGCCTACTTTTAGCAGACTGCCCATCTCATTGGTAGGAGAGAGTGACACTGGTTTCTAGCAGTTTGTTGTTGGGAGTTGATAAGGGGGAGTTTGGTTGGCCTGACAGAAGAGGCAATAGGACAGTAGTGAAAAGAGCCCTGAGGGAGTGTCAAGAGTCCTGGCTTCTAGTCTCAGTTCTGGTAAAGATGAGCTATGTGACCTTGGGCAAGTCACTTCCCTTCTCATTTGCCTCCTCTCTAAGATGAGAACTTCAGATTAGACTATGTCTAAAGGTCCCTTCCAATGCTGACATTCTCTGGTTCTATTTCTAAAGTGCCTTCTATCCCTAATTCTCTGTGTCTTTTAAGCCACCAAGTTCACTTAAGGGTGCTCATAAGATCTTCATGAGTCACAATGTGTGTGTGTGTGTGTGTGTGTGTGTTTATAAAATGTGTTTGGGGTAGAAAGTATGGTCAGCTAGTTTGTTGAACTGGTAGAGTACTAGCAGGGGAAGAGCCATAGTGATAATAGTAACAATAGTAATAGCAGCATACAATTGTGCAGCTTCTAGTTTACAAGGTGCTTTAAGTGAGGTAGGTTAGGTAAAGGAAGTATTATCAGTATCTCCTCTTTACAGATGAGGAAGCTGAGGCCCAGAGAGGAGATGGTTTTGCCCAAAGTCATTTGACTAGTGTTTGAAGCCCAGGACTTAAACCCAGGTCTCCTTCCCTCAAGTACAACCTGTTTTCTACTGTAGCACACCTAGTTTCCTTCCTGTTTGAATTGGCAAGTTTACTTATGTGTTGTGGCCAGAAAAAGGGGAAACATTTCTTAGCCTGCAGACTCTTTTTTGTAACACCTGTTGGCTAGGAACCACTGATTTCTCTGTTCAACCTTGGATTCAAGCTGATGGGTACTTAGGAAGAGTGAGTGGCTGCTTCAATTGAGTTTCATAAAGAATGGCCCTTTTCTTTAGTCACTTTCATGGCTGCTCATTAGTCATTGTAGCTTAAATATCTAGAGTCCTTTTTTTCCTTCCTCAAATTTGTCCTCTTGGTTTCTCAGAAGGGTCATTGCACTCACCACAAATTAACATTAAGAATTAATATAATGTTAGCAATATAAGTCTGTATATATTTAATATCATTGCAAGTTATAGTTATTATCAAACTTATATCAACATTGTATCAATAGAATATTTTAATTTAATGTTAGTTATAGTACTAATATAGTTCTTCATATACTCAGCTATCTCAAGGTATGTCAGTTCACAAAAATAGAGGATTATTATAGTAACCACTGACATTTACATAGGGCTTTAAAGTTTGCAAAGAGCGTTCTGCCTCTTCTCTCACTTAAGTCTCCTGATAACCCTGAGAAGACACATTCTACGCAGAGGTGTCAGACTTGTTGGGACGCAGAACTCCCCAATTCAGCCAGAACCAGATTACAATGTAATTAGAAATGTTTAGCAAAACCAATAAACGTATAATACAACATAGATAATGTTAAGTTGTGGTTTTCTAAGTATACAGCAGCAGGGATCAGGATCCATTTTTCTTTTGAGTTTGATGCCATTTTGTACAGGTATTATTTATTAACACCTTTTCACAGATGAGGAAATTGAGAACTGGAGAGATGAAGGGCCTCGTTTGTGGTCACCTGGCTAGCAAATGCCTCCTGGTCAGGGGCAGGGTTTTTTTTTTTAAATTCTTAAATTAATAAATATACCCAAAAAGAACAGTTGCATAATTCACAGTAGAGCAGAAATAGATTATCTGCAAAAACATGCATGGTTATTAAGTACAACTTGCTTTTTAAAAAAAGTTTATAATACCTTCAACATGTTACTTCCAAATATGTCCTGCTTGTCTCTTTCCACTTCATCATTTCTCTTCTGTGTATTTTAAAACATCCTTCAATGACCCTTTTCCTTTTCTTTCTTTCTTTTTTTTTGGACAGCCTTATTACTAGCTTTCCCCTTGAACTTATCCCTCCAAATGAAAAATAAAAACGCAGTCCTTGAAACAAGCAAGTTTAGTCGAGTAAAACAAATCTGCTTATTTGCCATACCAAAAATTTATATCTCTTTTGGCACCTTCAGTCCTTCACTAGAAACCGGATTTGAGCCTAGTTCTTCCTAACACCAAGTCCAACACTATCCACTGTGCAGTGCTGCCTCTACAATCAAGTTGCATATTACCTCAGTCAGTCCCAGTTTATAGGGACACCAGTTTCCCTACTTTAAAAAGAGAGCCCTAGGGGGCAGCTAGGTGGTGCAGTGGATAAAGCTCCAGTCTTGGAGTCAGGAGGACCTGAGTTCAAATCCAGCCTCAGACACTTGACACTTACTAGCTGTGTGACCCTGGGCAAGTCACTTAACCCCATTGACTAGCCAGAAAAAAAAAAAAAAAGAGAATCCTAGTTGAAGTGAGAACTGGGAAATTCGATTCCTCTCTGTCATTGATTTGCTATATGACACTTGCTTAAATACTGCCCCTCTTTGTGCTCTACTTCTTTCACCTCTTTGGGATTAGATCAAGGGTATGAAAGGGGCTACTGAGCTCTCTGCACAAAAAGTCCTTTGAACTGCTCACCCAGGGACTTGTTCTTGGACCTAAGAGCTCTGCTCAGCTGGTCCCCGAGTCATCAGTCTAGGTGGGCTCTTAAAGGAGTACCCCTAAGCCTTCAGTTGTAGTTCTTACCTTATGACTCACTTTAATGTCAAGGACAAACAGTAGGCTTTGAGAACAATTTTCCCCTCTTTCTCCTAGAAGTATTTTTAAAATCATCACTGAAGGAATTGAATGTGCATCTGTGTGTATTGCAGAGGGAGATGGTGCGAATTCCTTTGCCTTATTCATATGTGATTTATCATAGTACCGTGGCTGAGGACCTTTCCAGGGATAAGATGTCCACTACATTACTTCCCTTGATAGGTGAATGGGTGCTGTGGCCCAGAGGAAGGATAAAACTTTTTAAAAGTTTGGTTCTCAAGGTAACTTAGTCTCAACGCTGAAGGCGTCCATGGCCCTTGTGCTACCCAGTAGGGAGCACTTCAAGCAGAACTTGTAGTACCTTTTCCTAGACACTTGAGTTTACTCCCTAAGATAGATGGAGCTATTGTTTGTCTTGAGAATAATTGTATGGTTATTCTCGGAAAACGCTGAGCTGGTAGCTCTTAACTTCTTTCTCTGTAGCCCTCAGGATGAACAGAAGGGCCCCATCACCCATAAACCCCTGAGTCCCCACCATGAGGACTTTGTGCCAGTCACCAGGTCCCAGGTTTTTTCTGGATTGAGGAAGGAATATTTTGCTTCAGCTTTTCATATTCCCTAGCTGTCAATGCTGAGGGTCCCTGCTTCTCTCACCTTCATGCTAGCCACTTCTGCCTCCTCTGCCAGCTCTGCCTGGCTGAACTTAGTCACTCTGGAACCCCAGTCCAGTAAAGTATATAAAATGTTGGTGGGCATTTTCTTTTAATGCTTCCCAATCCCAGTTAACATTTTATTTCCTTCTCATTTAGGTCCTAGTTGCACAATGTAATGCTGACATCTGTTAATATTTCTTACAGGTAGCTGCCCTGCTGAGATAAATGGAAGAGGATTCTTAACTCAGACCTACTTTTTGATCCAGTGCTACAGCTTTCTCCCAGAAGTCTTTCCTGCCCTCTTCTCCCCTTGATTCCCTCTGGCATGCCAAGCTATTTCAAGGCAAAGCTGTAGGGTGCTGAATCTAGCAAGCCCATTTCTCAGTCTTTCCACTCAGGGTTTTCTGGCAAAAAAACCTGGTGAATCTACAAACATCCACTCCTTTCTAGTGGCCCCATGGCAGATGCTACCAGGCAGGTTATGGGGGCCAATTTGATGAACTGCTGATAAGATAATCTTTTATTAGAGGGTAGGACTGGATTGGGTTCAAACAAACTAATAAAACTTTTGTAAGCGACCACAAGATTTTGACCTTTCTAAGCACGTCTTTCACTAGCTTATCTTTTCCATAAACAGACACTCAGAGAGGAAATACATTAAATCTGTATTTTTGTATGCCCTTAGAACAAAGGACTCTTATTAGAAAGATGTCAGCCTCCTTTTCCAACCTTTAGTGCTGACTAACCCTGCTGGGAACATTGTTCAAAACTTTCATAGTGATAAGAGCCTCATTTTAACCTGGGTCATTGTTGCTGTCCCTCTAAGGATAAATACAATGACTGTGATGAAATGGCTGCCAGGCCAAAATGACCAGAACTTCAGGTTCTTGGACTCCCCCATTCCAAAGACCTAGGGTCAGCTCTTGAATTTGCTTCCTAATCCAAACAGTGGGTCTTCAGGTTTTTCTCTGCCCCCTGATGAGGTGATGTTCTCTACCTTTGGGGAGAAGAGGGGATGGAAGGGGCATTTGACTAGACTTTATCATGGACAGAAGGAAGAAGAAAATTGGTGCTGTTAATAGTCCAGATCCAAATCCCTCTGCTGTCCAAACTCTGGAGTATTGTTTCAGCTGTTCCCTTTGCTTAGTGTAGTCTTGAACTTTTTCTTTGGAAGGGGAGAGTACAATAGGAAGGAATGAAGTGTGACTGGATCTACTCTGATCTCCCAGACTCACGTGGAGCCTTTTCCCACCATTCAAACACTGTCAGCTGAGAATTGCTTATGGCAAAGTGAGACTTAATAATACACAGGTGTTTTATAAGGGCCTGAAGGAAGTGGCATCTCTTGTTGGGCAGAATCCAACTCTTCCTTGGGCATTCTAATAGCATATTTAGGTTGCATATAAATTTTGCAAGGGGTTATTGACATGCTCTTGGGAACTGGGAGATGCCAGCAGCAGATAGGTTGCTCTGACTCAAAGCTCATTAGGGCCAGGTGTGGGGATGGGGTAGGGTTAGCTGGAAGACTGAGTGATTGCATTAATTCCCTGTGATGCTGACTGCTTCAAACATAATAGGAGCAACCTCTTCAAATGCAGTGAGGTTTTGATTATTCTGGGGACAGTTACCTAGACCTGTGCTTTCTTATTCCTCCAGCTTCCCACTGCTTGCCATGTTCCTGCATATTAACACCTCTACCATTGTCTGGGCAAGAACTAGGGAAATAGCCCCTTGATTCAATTACTTGGAAAGTTTAATATTGAACCTGTTGACTACAATGGTATTTTGCAACAACTTTGGAAGTTTTTTATCAATGCAATCCTATGTGAAGACCTCCCCAAGGGGGAACTGAATTTATACTATTTGTTTAAATGAGGCTACTCATAAAGGGGGGGTGGGGAGAGTTACTGGTCTCTTTTACCCTTTGGATGGCAGCCTAAGACTGTTCTACCATCCTATTCTCAAATCCTTTTTTTTTTCCTTCCTGGTTCCTATCCTCTAGTACTCACTATCCCCAGGTCCACTGGGGACAGCCAGTGCTGGTAGCAGCAGGCAGGTAAGGGGTTTCATCCACCGTGTATCATTGATCTTTGCTACATAAATCCTGCATTTTACCTAGAAATTTGTTTTTCAAATATTTTTTTCCTTGGTGCCTTACACCACAACTTTCAAGTGTAAGACATTCTATTAGTGTAAAGTACATCTTCCTTTCTTCCCTATGCTGCAAGGCTGAATTATGAAATTATGAATTTCCTGGGGTCTGATGTTTTGTTTAGGAAGGATTCAAAATGTTGGATAAAGAACACATATAAATGATTGAATATGCTGTTTTTCTTTTTGTATCCTGGTTGTAGATAAAGGGAGAAGTTTACAAAGAAACTTGAGACTTAATCTTTTATTTGTTTAATTGTCCCTGGCAAAGAATAAAATTTTGTTCTTGAAATTACTTAAAGTATGTCATTGAATGAAGACTTATCCTCTGTGTTCATCCTTCTCTCTCTCTCTTTCTCTCATTTCTCTCTCTTTCTCTCATTTCTCTCTGTCTCTCTCTCTCTCTCTCCCTTTCTCATTCTCACTCTCACTCTTTCTCCCTGTCTCTTCTCTCTCCCCTCCGCACTCTGGCTTTCACCTGTTTTAACCTCTGCTTACATTTCTTTCTCATAACATCCAGAATGGGTGGTCAGTCTATAACCACTAATGAAATTAGTGGAAATCAAAGCAATAATGCAGAGGACAAAAATGGAAATCCAGCAGAATGACTCAGATCCAAGGGTGAGTTGCAAGTGGTCCAACTACCAAACCTTATCTCTACTTTTTCCATGTTTGTGTTGAACTACAGCACCCAACGGTACTGGGCTCTCTTGGTGCTTTCTTGGCATCTTTGTCAGCTATTCCTATCTGTTCCCTACACTAAAGATTCCTACTGGTGACCTCTACCTCCCTTATCTAATGTTCACACTGCATTTCTATTACCAGCAACAAAGTGCCTTTGTAGTCATGTTGGGTTCCTGCAGGACTTGAAGGCAATTGATCATTGCTATAAAGGCTCTTATTATTATGCCCTCTTGTTCTGGACTTTCCTGATATCTTCCCCTGCATTTTCAGCACCCCTCTCCCCGTAAATTATAGCCACCTGACCAACCCCGCACCCCCCCCCCAAGTATAAGTATTCACTTATTGAGAAGAAAAGAGATTTTGACAATTATAATCAGGGTCCAACTGAGTAAACAAAAGTTTATCAATAGAGGCTGTAAGTCTTTTTTTTTGTATGTAATTTTTACGATATTTTATTTGTGATATTGTTTTTTTAAACCTTGCCAAAGGAAAAAAAAAAGGATTACTAAAGCCTTTATTAGTGTAACTTTGTATTTGACTTGATAACCTGAAGTGGGGCTGATTTGATTGTGTGGCATAATGGAAATGATGCTAGATTTGAAATGAAGAGGATTGGGTTCAAATTCTGGCTATCTCACTGCCTTTATGACATTGGGCAAGTGCAGGCCTCAACTTCCCCATCTATAAAATGGGATAGTTGGATAGATGATATCTACGGTCTCTTCCTGCTGTGCATCAATGATTCTATGACTTGCTATAGAATAAAGAATGAGTAAATAACAATACAACCCACAAACTTAAATGAATCTCTAAAGTCTGGACCTCTAGCTGAAGAGAGAGGAATCTTTATCTTGTGGCTGGAGATGTGTGGAAAGAAAAGCTAGATTATTCAGTCATTATTTGGCCTTTTTGGCAATTTAGGTGCTTTGGCTAGACCAGTGTTGTCAAACTCAAGTAGACATAGGGGCCACTAAGCCATTAAATAAGGCTCTCTGAAGGCCTCATCTTGACTTAGTTTTAAAATATGTTACATGTATTTTAAAAATTTATTTTGTTAAATATTTCCAAATTATATTTTAATCAGGTTCTAGCAGCACTCAGGAGTGTAGCAGGCTGTGGGTTTGACACCTCTGGTCTAACACCTCTTGTCTAGAACTTCCAGATGTTTTAGTCCTAATTTATGCCCCATGAGAATCAGAATGCAGTACCTTCTCTCTTTGGCTTTTATTACTTGGCAATGGGCTTTGTACATAATAGGCCGCAATAAAGACTTGTTGAATGTAAACAAAAGAAGGAAATTGAAAGATGTTTTCTAGGTTGAGGGAAGTAGTTAGCTATTTTGATTAGAAATTCTCCTTAATTTGTATTTCTACTTGCATGTTTAAATACTGGCCCCAGGTGGCAGCATTGGACCTAAAGAGCCCAAGAAACTCCTTGGTTTCCAGTCATTTGGGGCTATTTTTGCTTATGGAAGTTTTTATTCCCTTTGAATAGTCACATTTTGTAGGGAGTTACTGTCATTGATAGTCTGCCACCCAATTAATCTTTCCTCAGTAGTTCTGCATACCAGAATAGAAATTCAAACAGTAGGGCATAGAAAAAGCACTAGACAGAAAATCTGGGTTTCAGTCCTGGATCTTCCGCTTAGATGTGATTGGATCAAGTTTCTGAGCCAGTTTCCCCATCTGTAGAATGAGACTAATAATCCTTACCCTGTACTGCGCATTGTAGTGGTCACATGAAACAGGATCGGAATAGGGACTAGAACTGGTATTTCATTGGTATAGGGAACTCTTGGATGAAGAAACTGCTTCTATCAATGCAGGTTTGCACCTTCTCTGCAACATAGAAAGCTACCCAGAGCCCACAGAGATTTAGGTGACTTACCTAGGGTCACACAGTCAAGATACGTGGGACTTAAAATCATAAACTCAGGCCTTCCTGGCTCTGAGGCCAGCTTTCTCCATAAGAGCCTTTGTAAATGTGATATACTATATAAATGGGAATTGAGAATCATCAGTGTGGTAGCTGACCTTGATGCTGTGATCATCCTCATTGAAGGCATTTGACAACATGACTGAAAAGATCATGCTTGCTTACAGCCTTGTTTCACTCCATTGGTAACTGGGAAAGCACAAGAGCATTGCCCATTATCCAGAAAGAAGGCAAGCATGCCTTCATGAAATTGATGCACAATGCTGATGAACTTTTTGTTTGTTTGTTTTTATGAGGCAATTGGGGTTAAGTGACTTGCCCAGAATCACACAGCTAATGAGTGTTATGTGTCTGAGGCTGGATTTGAACTCAGATCCTCCTGACACCAGGACTGGTGCTCTCCCCACTGCGCCACCTAGCTGCCCCCTGATGAACTTTTCCGGGCAACTAAATTTTGACATAATTTTCCATAAGCCCTCATGGCTGACTGTATCAACGGCCTTGGTCAGATCTACCAAATGTGTAAATTCTTCAACTTGAAAAGGCTACAAGCCAAGACCAAAGTGGAGGGAGTGTTGGTGCATGATTTTCTGTTTGCAGATGATTGTTTAGTCAAGGTGGTCTCTGAAGCTGAGATGCAACAAAGTATGGATTGATTCTTTGCTGCTTGTGCTAATTTTGGCCTAATAATTGGCACAAAGAAAACACAGATGCTCCATCAGCCACCGCCATACCATCCATTCGTGGAACTATCGGTTACAGCAAATGGAGAAGTTTTGAATGGTGTGGATAAGTTCACTTTCCAGGG